TTTTCTAATGCTACATTTAAGCCCTTCAGGATACTCGACCTGAAATGAGGTAAGCCAACTTGTTCATTTCCAGGCGAATGATACGGAAAACATTGTTTTCGACATCATTGACTGATTTCCCGCAAACTAAGATTCATTTTCATATCCGAACCACTTTGTTGGCTGCCTCTTTATGCCGCCTGCCTGACTTACTTTGAGGCTATCGCGAGTTCACGCCATGCGACTCTCTACTCGAGAAGCTCTTTTCGTCATTGGCAACTGCCGACTGAGAGACGTCTTCTTTTTTTCACATGACAAAACTGGTTCGCCTCCAGCTCTTTTTGCATGCAAGACGTTATGACTGGATGCATCTCGGACATCTTTTCGCCACCCCCAACAGACTCATGGAATCCGGAATCTAGAAAGAGGCTCAGATGCATCGGAAACTGTTTTTATGACGTTGCTTGATAGGGCTTACTTTATCTCTTTGTTCTATTTTATGATGATGCAGAAGTTGTGATGAGAAAAAATAAAAATTTTGCTCTGTCTTGAGCATACCCCCATTTGAGGTGTGTGGAAGGAGTCAAGTTCGTGTCCCAGTTCCCCTCGTCTCGTCTCCCTCGGGACTCGACTCAGCGGAGTTCCGGTTCTACCGGATTTGTGCCCATGAAACCTGTTTGTCTCTTGTCTTGTGGATTGTATGCGTCTGCGAAGAGTGCTTTGGCAACCCGACGTCCAGTTGCCATCGAGAGGTGCTCATTTCATTCTTGACTGGCCTCGAGCCGCCGGACGAAATGGACCATTTCGGTCCGTCCGTGAGGGATTCCCTTCTCAACGGAGATACGATTTAGAATGGTTTCCGGCTTTTTTCCGGCTGGCTTGGCAACTGGACCAGATGGTTGACTTGGCGTTATCTGGAAGACACACTCCTCTTTGGTAGTGGCGCGAAAACATGTGATTTAAGTAAAAGCTGTATCCACCTCAGGTCGCGCAAAGTGTGAAAGCAGTGAAAGTACAATTTTGTCACAAACTTAATATGAGATGTATTTCATTTTATTTGGTTGAAGGTGAGGAAACGTCTCGAAATGCTACTGACATAGCAACAATAATTTCACTTGGCCTGGCCGACAAAAGACATTTTCATGGCAACTTCGGCCTGAATAAGTCTCATCAACAGACCAACAGAGTCCTTTTTGAAATGACCCAAAAGTCATTGCAAAACCGATTGTAGGGGCAAATATAAGCTGGCCTCATCGACAATCCCACAAGGAATTGTGGTATGTGAAAGAGCTGACTTGCCTAACATTGCCGCCAGTCGTCCGGCCCACTGGCAACCCGCTGGCGGGTTCTGACTGTGTCTCAACTAAACGATGCACCACGTCAGGCCGAGTTCGAGTCCCGCTCCGGCTGCTGATGAGACCAGTTGCGGCGACGTCGAGTCCAGTCCAGAAGGAACAAACGAGAGGATCGTTATAGACACTTGCATTTCGTGTGAAAGTGGGTCTGAGCACGAGCATTCGAGGTCGACTAGCCGACAAATCGTGACAACACGAGGAATTTGCAAAACGAGATAAAGCAGCAAATCATACGAAATAGGTAGTTTCATAACACTTTTATCGCAAAAGCTCCATCCACGCTCGCTTTCCTTTCCATACACGCCTCGAAGGTGGTCCGCGGCCAAAAGAGATGCCTCACCATTTTGACCATTTTCTTTGCGACCAATTTCGCTTGGCAACACCGAGTGTGCGTGTGTGCGTGTGTGCTGTCGAATAGCTAGGCCGGTTGGTTGCACCAAAGCAGGACGGCACACCCCCGTTGCCTGTTGACGCAGTCTCCTTCGGCTCTGGTGAAGACGAGCCAAGCTCTGCTCCGGCACAGAACGAACATATACGAAGAAAAGTTGGATTTCAAGGAATCTATTGTTTCATAATTGTTGGGCTTACTTCCATTTCGAGTAGAAGTGTTGGGTGAAGAGATTCGAAGGTCGGT